TTCCCTACTGAAGCTGGGTTGGCGCTTCTTTGTCCTCCAGCAGAGGCAAACATACGGCTGCATTCAAAAGCAGCCCTGAAGATGTGTAGGAGTCTGTGCGTGCTGCTGTTGGTACAGGAGCAGGACAGGTGGCAGCTTGCAAAAGTCCACTCTGTTCTCAGCACAGCAGTTCTGCTGTCTTGTTATGTGTACAGTGTATTCAGAGCTTTGGATGTGGTCTTGAGGAATATGCTCATGAATATGCTCATGAAGCTCTTGAGGAATATCCTCATGAAGTTCAACAAGGCCAAGAGCAAAGTCCTGCACCTGGGTCAGGGCAATCCCAAGTACAAGTACAGGCTGGGTGGAGAGTGGATAGAGAGCAGCCCTGAGGAGAAGGACTTGGGGGTACTGGTGGATGAAAAGCTGAACATGAGCCGGCAGTGTGCGCTGGCAGCCCAGAAAGCCAACCGTATCCTGGGCTGTATCAGGAGAAGTGTGGCCAGCAGGTTTCTGGTAATAGAGGAGTGTGTGTTTATTATGGGATGTTTTCTGCTTTTTTACTCTTTGTGAATTCTCTGGCTGATAATTTGCAAACTACTGTGGAAAACTACCAACCTCATCAATGAGTCATATGAATGAAAACAGTGATGGGCTCTTGAGTGTTTAATGTAGCTTGCCTTGTTGATAAGAAATGAGAAACCCACAAAGAAGAGCTCATTGCTTGCAGTTTCTTCCTCTCAATCCCCTGTTCTTGGAGCTAGATTTGTTCATAAAGGCCTAAAATTTATGATGGGATAGCTCAGTTTTTAAAAACACACGCAAATATTTCATTCAAGCTCTGAATGAGCTGGGCAGAATGTCAGCATTGCAGCGCATGACAAGGGGGAGAGAATTCGGTGTTTCAAGAGGGACCTTACATGGTTCCTGGCTGACTCTTCCCCCAGCCTCTTCATGAAGAATTATGGGCATGAAAGTATAAGTTCAGAAACGTTTTGCATGCCACCCTTTAGTGCTAATTGAACACAGATGGAATACAAGAACCGTTATTTACATGGTATATCTTATTCTCCTACAGGCCCTGCAATTCCTGTTGGAGTGGATGTGCAACTTGAAAGCTTGGATAGCATTTCTGAGGTTGACATGGTACGTAATCCTCTTTTAAGCCTCAATTACTCCTAGTCATAATAAGTCTCTCCCACTTGCAACCTGTGGGTTTCACATTCATGGTCAGATGAAAGTAATGGCAGCATCTGGCAGATTCAGAGAGACTGATATTCAGAACTAAAGGCATGATAAAACCAGACAATCACAGGCTTGTCTCTGTATCTTCAGATAAAGATTAAAAGTATGAAGGAAAAAGGGATGTTAAATTGGAGAATTATCAGTGCTATGAAGGCCAAAACTGTGACCAGCTGCGTATGAAGGTATATGGTGAAGTTCATATAAGCTGTGCTTGCTGCAAGAGTTTTCTTCCTTAGGGGGAACCATTGAGTCCATCTGTTTCAAATGCATGATTCCGGGAGGTTTATTAGAAAATTAAACTGACAACATAATTGTGGAGGAGCTGCTCCTGCTTCTTCATCACTGGGAGTAACCTCACTGAGGCACGTGAGGGGGAACTGCCAGGGGAAGCCTGATCTGCCTCTGCCAAAGTGGAATTTGGCATGGGGGGCTAGTCTCTCAGTCACTGATGATGCAGTGCAGGAAATATGGACCAACTTAAATTGTGATTTAGGATATTTATTTTTTTATTTATTAAAAAAGAGGAAGAAATACATGCAGTTGTTAACCCTCAGCGTATTTCAAGGTGTTCACAGTGAAAGGTGTGTTCATACACAGTCTTCTGTTCGGGTTTTTTTGTGTTTGTTTTTGGTGGTTTGTGGTTTTTTTTTTTAATATAGGAAATGGAATAAAAACACTGGAAAGAGAAATGGAAGGGGAACATAGAGGAGAAGAGGAAGCTTCTTGGTTCCTTCCTCCTGCCTTTTTCTCCTTGTTCTTGGGCACCTTCTGTGGTCTAGGCAAAACATGAAGACTTAGAATCATAGAATGGTTTGGTTTGGAAGGGACCTTAAAGACCATCTAGATCCAACCCCCCTGCCATGGGCAGGGACACCTTCCACTAGACCAGGTTGCTCAAAGCCTCATCCAGCCTGGCCTTGAACACTTCCAGGGATGGGGCATCCACAGCTTCTCTGGGCAACCTGTGCCAGTGCCTCACCACCCTCTCCAGGAAGAACTTCTTCCAGATATCCAATCTAAACCTCCCCACTTTCAATTTAAACCCATTACCCCTTGTCCTGTCCCTACAGGCCCTTGTAAAAAGTCCCCCCCAGCTTCCTTGTAGCCCCTTCAGGTACTGGAAGGTCCTATAAGGTCTCCCTGGAGCCTTCTCTTCTCCAGGCTGAACAAGCCCAACTCTCTCAGCCTGTCCCCATAGCAGCGGGGCTCCAGCCCTCTGAGCATCTTCCTGGCCTCCTCTGGACTCGCTCCAACTGACTCCAACTTAGCGGAAAAGCTTTAGATTGATCTTTTTTTGCTGTGGCACAATTACATCTTTATAAAAAGAAGGGAGCTTGCCTGCCCAGATACTGAAAGGGAGGGTCTGGGGGGATGTGTGCGATGATGCGCATGGGAGCGAGCTGTCAGCGCAGGAACTGGCTGCCACAAGGAGACTTGGGGCTCCAATATATTAAGATAATGTCATGGCAGCAAGGAGACCTAAATAACTTGCAGTGCTTTCTATCAGGAGCATCTGGTTTCAACAAAAATCTTACCTATTGAAGAACCAGGAAGCTTCGTGGTCAGTTCTGTCTCTTTGCTTTACACAGCTCCACAGTCCTATTCTGTCTGCGCATTCGCTCTGCCTCCAGAAGGTACTATCGTTCTCTCATTTTCTTGTAAGACTTGTTTCTTAAAGAGTTTTCCTACTTGTGAGTGCTGAAATAAACCCCTTTTCTTGATTTGTAACTAATGCCTGTGCGGGTCAGAAAGAAACAAGCTGTCAGTGATTACAAACTGCTTTGTTTGACTCACGCTGCAAGAAAACATCCGTAAGTTGGATTTTATACTTAGAAGCTGTCATCAGCTGCCACTTGGGCTTGATGTTTGCAGCATTTGGTGCCCTGTGTCTTGACCATTGGAGGCCTGTTTGGAGAGAGGAGGGTGCTGAAGATGAGAGAGAAGGCTCCTGCCTGGTGGGATGGGAAAAAGGCCCCACCTGGGAAGCAGTGTGGCCCTTCCCGTGCTGTCTGTGCCCCCACGATGGTGGCTGTAAGTCACGTCGTGAGTACCTGGCTGATGCCACGTCGGTCCCTGTCCTCCTGTGCTCCCATGAAGGAGCTGCATTCTGTAGCCGTAGCCTCAGGCTGCCTGGGTCTCCTCTGGCATCACGGCTGGGGGGCTGCCTAGGGCTACTGACCCTGAATAGCCAGGCTTGTTTTTACTGCTTTTTTTCCTTCTGGTGTAAATGGCACTAACTCCTAAGAAATCATCAGTTATGCCTCTTCCTTGCTTTCCTTTTCCCTAGCTTCAGTCAAGCTGACATGCTTTCCTTGTCTAGCCCTTGCAGTTGTCTTCTCCAGCCAGGTTGCAACTTAAGTCCTGTCAGTAGCAGCAATTGCTGGAAGTGTTTCTTTGGGATTGTAGCTATATAGGGAAGGTGTCCAGTGTTCAGTAGGGAACAGGAGCTGGCAGCATCGCTGAGGGGAGCAGGGTTGTAGGCTGGGACCAGTATGCTAAGGTGGGGACCTGCAGGTTGATGAACCTGCATGTGCCATGAACATGGCAGCATCCCTCTGCCATGGTCAGAAATGGAGGTGTCGGGGCAGCTCTGCCCTGTGCAGGGTAGCAAGGCGAGGGCTGGTGCTGGAGACTTCTTGGACAAATTCATGAATAACCTATTGGCAACAAGAGACTCTTGCCAGGGAAGCCCTTTGAAACAGTCAGGTTAACTGATGGTTTGGCATTGGCAAAGCAAAATGAGGTGGTGGCAGTGGTTTTGAGAAGCAGTTGCCAGGTGGTTAGGAAGAGATCCCAGCCTGTGTTGCTGCCTGCCCCGGCTTGGCAGCTCTGCCGCCTGTAACCACTCACTTAATTGGGAATATAAAGAAAATAAGTGTATTTGATCTCTCAGCATGAGAGAGTAGATTCAACTCTGAAAGCAGCAGCTGCCAGGTCAGGATCAGCAAACAGATGTTTTCCTTTGTGTGACTGAAGCTCCTCTCCCCTTTACAAGCTTAAAAGAAAGCTTGCTTTATACACTTGCACAGTAGGAAAACCAGTTTCCGCACTCGGTTGCTGTTTGCAACAATTTAGTTCTTTTTGGAATAAATTGTTTAGTGTTTAGCCTGACTATTAAGCTGATTTTGAAAGGTTTTCATCTTGAACATGCTATTGATACCATAGTCCTTCAAGGTAATTCTGCCAGGATTGAAGAATCCTTTATGTTAACTGGGGGATTTATGTTTTGTTTTGGCTGAAATTATTTTGTCAGGAAAATCTATTCACAAAGAGCACTGCTCCAGGGAAAAAACAGGAGTTGAGGGGGGAGGTATTTCATCTACCTGGTAGGAGCGTGTTTTCTTCCTGCTGTTTCCTAGGCATAACAAGCAACACTGACAGACTTCTCTCTGGTTCTCTCCTTTTTTTGTGAAGGATTTCACTATGACTCTGTACTTAAGGCACTACTGGAAAGACGAACGTCTCTCGTTTCCCAGCACCACCAACAAGAGCATGACCTTCGACGGCAGGCTGGTGAAGAAGATCTGGGTCCCTGACGTCTTCTTCGTGCACTCCAAAAGGTCCTTCATTCACGACACCACCACGGACAACATCATGCTGCGAGTCTTCCCCGATGGTCATGTCCTCTACAGCATGAGGTAAAGGGACATCCCAGCTGCTCCTCTGCAACTCTTCAATTTTCCTTCCAGCGTGGTTTGGGTGACCACCAGGATGGCTACTGCCAACCCTGCTACTCCCACTGCTGATGCAGAGCCCTTTTTCCAGCATGTCCAGTACAAGATGCTATGCAGAAAGCTGTGAGAAACCATGCTGCGGGCAATAACAGGATAATCCCCTCCCAGGGAAAGCATTCCCTGAACGCTTTGCAGTCAGCTTAGTCGAGCAAGAATGTTTGTCCCAGGGTCAGTGTG